TTCATACCAATGACTGCATTTTCTTATCCTATTTCATTAGCTTATATACACAGGGATGGAAAAAGTAGGTTTGTGAGTACAAAAAACAGATTTTATTCTTGTATTATTATTAATTATTATGGATTATGTACTACATATTTATTATCATATTATTTTCCATATGAACCACTGTAAACCTACTTTTGCCTATCACTCTATGTGTGTGTATATACATATCTATACACCTTTTTTTAATTGAATGACTATCATTTTAATGTTTAATGTAGTATTTTTACTGCTATTTTTAGAGACTTTATATTGTGCCAGCCTTCATCTACATCACATACTTTTCCTAAAAATAGCTGCTAGGTGTTTTTGAATTCCCTTTTAAAATTATTTACAGATAAAATTATGTACTTCTCTTCTACTTTTGTATATTGTTGTAATAAACTATATAAAGAGGTTTCCAATATTCAGCCATCTTTGCTCAATCTCAGTCTATTAGTTTCTTTTTTTCTTCTTTTTCAAAATAGCCTCTAACTGCAAGTTCCATTTTGTCTCTTACGTAACAGAGTGCTTTTGTTTTGTTTTATAAACTCTCTCGGTGCTTTTATTCCCCCACATACAGTCTGTTTAGCTTCTACTAATTATAACTTTTTGAGACTTCTTTTTTGACCAAGATTATGGCTTGTATTAATATACATTTCAAGGATGTTGGGAAAAAAATGTGTTCTCTGTTTTTAGGACAGAAGATTAAATAATATCTTCCTTGGTAATTTCTTCAGAGCCTATATATATATATTTCATTTTTAAAGATTTTAGAGGGAAGAGAAGGGAGGGAGAAAAAGCGGTAGAGAAACATGGGTGTGAGAGGGAAACATCCATCTGTTGCCTCTCATATGCAGTTGACTGGGGGCCATACCTGCATGTGCCCTGATTGAGAATTGAATGTGCAACATTTTGATGTGTGGCTGATGCTCCAACCCACAGAGCCACCTGGCCAACAGTGGCATTTTAATAAGAAAGGACACGAATGCTTTTCTCCAGTCTTCAATCTTTAACCAGAAACTTGTTTGTTACAAAATTTGATGTAATAATATAACATTATTGTCCCTGATGCATATTAGATACTGGGAAGAAAGAGTAATTTTCTTCTGGTTTGAAAAAGGAAGCTTACGGGTCTTCATGACTTTTAGGAACACAAAATGCCAATCGAAACATTATTATCAGAGAAATAAAATGACCAACTAAGAAGCAGAATTACGGACTCAGATTTGTAACTACTTTCACAGGAAAGAGCATTCAGAGCTGCTTTTAGGCATTCCTGAAATTCAGAAGCCTAAAACAATTCATTATATACAATAATAGCACAGACATATATATTGGCACAAAGCAGAATTCCCAGGAGAAACCAATGTCTTGTAAAATATCATTTTCTGATATTCTTGTAAATTATCAGTTTGTGCCTTTTCATATCATTATTAAACCACATCTTACAATTTCTAAAGTAGTTTTATAATTCAGGTTGTTATTTCTCTTAACTCCGTGAGAGAGGGTGCACCTTGCCTTTATATTTTTGATATTGGTTCCTCTTAGTCATCAATTAAGATGCATTTTTAAGCTTAGATTATATTGTTATTCCATTGTTTCTTATTCCTCTGTGGATGATCTGTTTAGTCCATTTCACATTTGTACAAATTAAAATACTTAAGAAAAAAGCCTAGGTATGTTTGGACAAAATAACTTGAGACTTCTCGCCAAGATGATGGTGTAGGCAGATGTGTTTTGCCCCTTCGCTCAACCACATCACAATTACATCTAAAATAGAGAAGAACCATACTCAGTACTGTCCATAGTCAAGTTAAATGGGAGTCTGACAACTACAGAATTAAAGAAACCTCATCCATCCAGACTGGTAGGACAGGTGCAAAAAGGAATGGGTTGGTCCCTCACCCACATGTGGTGGATAAAAACTCAGGAGGGATATCTCAGGAGTGAGGAGTCCCAGTCCCATACAAAGCCCCGCACCGAAGCCCAGGACTCAAGTGCCAGGAAGAGAAGTGCCCACACCTCCTTCTGCAAAGCCCAGCAGCAGTTGAGTTGATGAAAGAAACTGCTAGAGCCCTGAGTGGTTTCTCTTAAAGAACCCACACAAGGACTCAGCTTCTCAGACTCACTCCCTCAGCTCCAGCACCAGTGGCATAAATGGAGGAACTAAAGTATCTGCCATCAAGGCAAGCAGAGACAATTGTCCCTTTTCTAAACCCTACCCACACAGAACCAGCAAGCTGGTGCCATATCTGAGACTCCACCAACCTGGCTAACATTGTTTGACCCCCTTTGGAGACTCCCGGTGACCCTTCCCCACCCAATTTAGAGGCACAGCCAAGATGATCTTCCATATGAGTGGCTGGTCGTGGCTCATGCTTCACAACTTCCTCAGTCCTCCCAAAGAAGCGACAGCTGGCCTCAGTGAGCCCCAGGCCCAACACTAGCAACAGCCAGCCTGGATTCACAGCTCGGCTTTGCCTGGGAATCTCCAAGCCCAGCACACGTAGTAGCCATCTCAGATTGCTTTACAGCTTAAGCAGGGTGGCCCTAGGAAAAACACAAGTGGGCCCTGACCGTGGCCTGCACCACCAGGAAACCCCAGGGCCAGCGCACCCAGTGGAGAGCGACAGACCACTTGGAGGACCACCACTCTGCCTCTGCACAGCTGATCCTCCATGGGAGGTGGAGGTTGTTGGTCAGTGGTCATAGCCAACCCTTGCAACTGACTGGTCTGGGTAAATCCCTCCAGTTGACTTGCCAACTAACAAAGGCTCAACTACATGAGGAGGGTATACTCAGGCCCCACTACAGTGCACCTCGAGTACCCTGCTCAGAGGGTAGGGGAGGCTGTGCCACTGGACCCTATAGGACGCTTAGTACATTAGGCAACACTACAAAGACACCGAGTCTAAGCAGCTCTACCTAATGCTTAAAAACAAACACAGGGAGGTTGCCAAAACAAGGAGAACATGGCCCAAAAGAAAGAACAGATCAAAACTCCAGAAAAAGAGCTAAACAAAATGGAGATGAGTAATCTATTTGATGCAAAGTTGAAAACACTGGTTATAAAGATGCTCAAGTAACGTAGTGAGGACATCAATGGTTGAAAGAAAAATCCAGTCAGAAATAAAGGATATACTAATTGAAATAAACAACAATTTACAGGGAAACAGCAATCATGTGGATGAAGCTGAGAGTCAAATCAATGATTTGGAACATAAGGAAGCAAAAAGCAGCCAATCAAACAACAAACAATCAAGAAGAAAAAAGAATCGAAAACAACAAGGATAGTAAAAGCAGCCTCTGGGACAACTTGAAGAGGTTCCAACATTCACATCAAAGGGGTGCCAGAAGGAGAAGAGAAAGAGCAATAAATTAGAAATGTATTTGAAAAAATAATGAATGAAAACTTCCTTAATTTAGTGAAGGAAATAGACACGCAGTCCAAGGAGCACAGAGAATCCCAAATAAGACGGACACAAAGAGGCCCACTCCAAGACACATGACAATTAAAATGCCAAAGGTTAAAGATAAAGAGAGAACCTTAAAAGCAGCAAAACCCAAATGCTGGAAGCAACCTAAGTACCCATACGTAAAGGAGTAAATCAGACAACTATGGTACATTTACACAATGGAATACTATGCAGCAGAAAGAAAGAAAGAAAGAAGTACTACACTTCACGACAGCATGGATGGAACTGGAGAGCATTATGCTAAGTGAAATAAGTCAGGTGGTAAAAGACAAATAGGATATGACCTCACCTATAAGTGGAACCTAACCAACACGACAAACAAGTAAGCAAAATATAACCTGAGATATTGCAATAAAGAACAAACTGACAGTAACCAGAGGAGAGGGTGGATGGGAATAATGGGGGAAAGAAGGGGAACGGTCATCAAGGAACATGTATAAAACCCATGGACAAAGCCAAAGATTATTAGGATTGAGGATTGGAGATGGGGGCGGGTGGGCAAAAATGAAGAGAACTGTATTTGAACAACGATAAAAAAACAAAACAAAACAAAACAAGCACACAAGAGAAAAGCATTTAGTTACCTACAGGGGAGTTCCCATAAGACTGTCAGCTTATTTCTCAAAAGAAATCTTACAGCGTAGAGGGGATTAGCGAGAGTGATTCAAAGTCATGAAAAGTGGGGACCTACAGACACGATTGCCCTACCCAGCAAAGATATCATTTAGAATCGAAGGGCAGATAAATAGCTTCCAAGACAAAAAAAAAAAAAAAAAAAGACTCTAGCAGTTCATCATTACCAAACCATTTATATATGCAATGTGAAAGGGACTTATTTAAGAAAAAGAAGGTCAAAACTATGAACAATAAAATGGCAATAAATATATATCTATCAACAATTGAATCTAAAAAACAAACTAAGCAAACAAGAATCGAGACAGAACCATGGATAGAGAGAGCTTTTAGATAGTTGCCAGAGGGGAGAGGGTATGGCAGAATGGGTAAGAAGTTGCGGGGATTAAGGAAGACAAATAGGTAGTTACAGAATAGTCATCGGGATGTAAATTACAGTCTAGAAAGTGGAGTCAACAATGAACTAATGCGTGTGACCCATTGAAATGAACAATGGTTGGGGAATAGCCTGAGGGATTGGAGGGTGCTGGATGGAGGGGGGCAAAAGGGGAAAAATTAGGACATCTGTAGTAACATAACCAATAAAAAATGATTTGGAAGAAAAACAAATAAAAAGACAAAAAGACTTTCAACAGCATTGATAATGACAGACTGGAAGTTTTCATTACTATGTACGTCTTTCTTATCACCATGCTTCACTTTGCAGGAGCCGTGGCGATCGTTTCAATTCTATTTGTTCTAATCTGAACTCTCAACCCCTTATTTTATATAGGTTGGTTCTTCATAGCCTGTCCTTCATATATAAAATGTTACGGCATATAAAAACCTTGATGACCATTTTATCATGGAATCCTTTCTCCCTAGGATGTCTGCAGAAGAACAGGTCATATATAACACCGTTAAGGAGACTGCAGGCAAGCTCTTCAAAAAATATAAGGTGGACATTTCAGGTGCAATAAAAACAACATTTCCTTTCCTTGAACTTCTCCGGGATCGTGGATTCATCACCAATGAAATGTATGCTGTAAGTGACGTTTACTTTTTCACGGTCTGGTAAACCAGCCGCAAACTAAGTTATGCTTTGATATCCTGGAATCAAACGTCAGAGCACAATGGTGCACCTGGGGAGTCTGCTGTGAGTGGGGACCTTCTCGTGTGCTGCTGTGAGTGTTCCCATAAGGTCAGGAGGGAGGAGAGGAGCAGGCGTCGCTGTGGAAGGAGCAGGGCTCCGTGTGCCTCCTACGGCGTCTGGGGAATAGCCCTGCAGACAGGCTGGGTCCACAGTTGAATAATGTGTTGCAGGAGTCATACATACAATAGATTATATTAGAAAACAAAGTAATTTTAATGAATGGATGAATAAGCTTTATGATTTCATTTAATGAAATAATAATTGACACAACATTCCATTTCAATGAATATCAATTCAAGTATTTAGATGTGAGAGCATTAGAATTCACAGAGATTTAATGTCTTGTTAGGACAAATTTGGAAGTAAATGCTTGCTATTTTTTCTCCAAAATGTTCAGTTCCCTTTCCTATCTTTTTCTTTTCTGCTGGGATTTCCGGAGTCTTGGAATTTAGGTCAATTTTGGAAGAGATGTAGGTGGAGATGCAGAGATGCAAGGCTTCTCTTTCCCTGTGACTAGGCTTACTTTATGGCAAAGTCCACAGGAAGGGAAATCACCACCTGGTGGCTTCCCTGGGCCCTTCCAGGCCAAGTCGTACTGGGCAAGGGACAAGGGTTGTCCAGTCCCTAGAAAAGTAGCTCACCACCTGCTAAATCTGTTCCTAAAACATTTGGCCAGGCTCTGGAAGGGCTACACATCACTTAACGTGAACCCAATTTTGTTCTTCAAAATTGCTCCTTCTTCCACCTACTGTAAACAAGAGTAAGGAGATCAAATGGGTATATTCAAGAAGCAAGGGTTTAGTTGTTCCACTTAGTAGTCATACAAATATGGACAAATTCTAAAATTTTACATCAGAAGATACTCTTTCGGGAAATTGTAATACATTAACAACAAAATCACTTTCTAAGGCTCTTCCTCATTTATATTTTCCCATTCACTATGTTTTAAGGCGTCGCAAGTATGTTGCAAAACACGGCGTTCTATAGAAGAAATCTTATATGATCTTCTGAGTGAATTGGAGGAGACCTTTGACCTGCCCCTTCTGGATGCTTTGTTCAGCAAGGTCATCATGGAGAAGTATCCTGATTTAAAACACATTTACAGAATCTTCAGAAATGGTAATTAGGTTTGTTACCGACTTTTTGATATCCAGGACCAATGTTTTCCCACAGGTAAATACTGAGCTTCTACCATGTGTCACATACAGTGCTGAGCAGTGGGGCTACAGCGCTTAAGAAAACAGACCTATTATTCACTTCTCAAAGCTTATGATAGAATGGATACAGTACAACACCCACCGAGAGGTCTACTTAACCTGGCAGTTAGACTCACAGGGCAACCAAAGCCACAGTGGCATCAAATGTACTTAGAAGGACAAATGACAAGAAACATAACATCCCTAAAGGGCGGCATCAGTTGCTGTTTCTCTGTGGGACCCCCAGCAGGGGCCCACCCAGCAGCTCACTGAGTGGCCTACTACCTGCCTCGAGTGACAGCTTAGCTGTGGGTGCAAGATCCACCATGTCCCAGCCACACCGCGCCCATGGGAGCCAGTGTCTCATGTTACAACTCTGTAGTCATAACTTTCAGAGACTCCCATGAGGAACAGCCAAGTTATAAGAGTCAGTACATTGGAGGAAGACTAAAAATGGCTTATAGTTCATATCTAGTCCCTCCCGGGTCACATGCAATTTACCTACCTACTGTCACTGCTCATTTTTAACTCTAAGCTCAGTGTTGGCCTAGAAACACAGAAGAGAAACCACCTTCACCAGGTTTCCAGAGTAATGAGCAAGAAAGTTAACCCCTAGTCAAACTTGCTTTCAAAGAAGGAGAAAAGGTTTTATTAACGCATTCTCCACAACACATGTGGAAATCATTAAGCTTGTAATTTGAGGTGACGTCACTATTCTGGATGGGCACCTCTAATTGTCGTCTTCTCTTGCCCTCTCTTCAGAGATACCAAACATAAGCTGTTTCCTAGAAAATGGACCAGAAGAAAACCAGGAGAGATCTGGTATCCACCTAAGCATTGAACAAGGTGATTGCAACCAGATAAAAGCTGACTCTCATCTGCTAGGAGGAAAGGAGAAAGGGCGTCGGTCCCTGAGGCCTGAGTAAAGTTTGGGAAGCAGGGGAGAACTTCTGAGGTACAGGGAGGGGTGTATGCATGAGCATCGGACCAGAGATTAATCCTGGAGAAGTAGCCATGACAAGAGATCATGGGTCCATTAACCAAGACAAGGGGACAGACACTCAGATTGTCAGGAAAGCAGATTTGATGAGAATGCTGAGCTGCGAGTAACTGATTTAGAAAGACTGAGTAGGAGAAGATCCGTGTGAAGCTGTGAAGTGCTCGGAAATGTGGGCAGACTCAACATCACATAGGAGATCCTTGATGAAGACAGAAGGCAGGACTGATTTAAATGTGGGGGATGTTGTTTAAAAGCAGGAATATTCAGGGAGATGGCAGCCACAGGGAGAGAAGAGGGGGAAGTGGTAAGATGTGGAGGAGGGGATGGTTGTACTTTGAGAGAGGAGGAAGGGAAATGAAAGAAGTACAGGACACAATAAAAGGACCAGAGTATTAAGAGCTCACTTATTGAACATTTACTCATGCAGTTGTGGGCTTAGTGTGTGCAGCTGCCCTTGGTGGCTGGTATCACTATCTGTCCATCTGCAGAGAAGGAGACAGAAATCTAGGGAGACCATGCATGCAGTTGGCTTGGGATCAAATATGCAAGATGAACCCAGGCATTCTGAACCCAGAGCCTGTGTCCCTAACTCTGTGCACACCAGATAGCCTCATGAAAAAGACAGAAACCTGAGAAAAAGAATAGGGAAATACATGCCAACTGAGGCAAACAGAAAGAAGCCTACCAGGAGCTGGAGGAAGTACAGAAGAATCAGATCCTGAACCTCGTGCAAAGTTCAATAAGGCAGAAAAACAGACCAGCAGAGGCAGGATGTGGTGTGAAAGGAAGTGGGGATGAGACAACAAGACTTTGTCAGAAGTGAGGTAAGGTCACCAGTCAAAAGCAGCTCTCAAAAAAAGGTTCATTGTGGCCTTAGGTGACATGAAAAGCCATCTGCAGTCACTGAGTGGAGTGTGAACACTCCCAATGAGATGGCCCGACTGAGGCCGGCGGCGCAGCTCACACGAGTCCGTGGACCCCCTAGGTCCAGGTGGGCTGTGCTGTTATCTGCGGGAGGGGATCATCATGTCCTGCCTTGTAAAGGTTCACATGGCACTAGGGGAGAACAGAGCAGCCCATACTTCAGTTTCTGAAATAAGTTTCTAATTTCTGCCCCCAGGAGCTGGTGAGAACTCACACCCAAGCCTGCTCTGGAGCAGACCATATCCTTTGAATCACAATGGTGTGTTCCTAGTAACTGTTTTATGATCACGTGCTGTTCTGGTCTTATTCTGGCATGTGCTGTGGGGGGTGGGGGGCGCTGAGGACTGATTCCTTTTGGTGCTGATTGTCCAGAATAGTCATTCTTTGCACCTGCAGCTTCTCTAAAGATTTAGACAGCAGAGCCTTCATTTTCCTGGTTGCTGGGAGGGCCGCTCCTTCCGTTCTCCTTAAATGCACTTACTGCCAGCTCCTGCCACCCTGGGCCTGGACCTATTGCCCATGCACCTGGCTTCACAGTCCTCTGCCTCTGCCTCGCCTGACTCTGGCTGCAGCCTTGCTCTCAGGTCACATCCAGCGGCAGCCAGCACTGCAGAGGGGAGTAGGGGAGGGGCGGTGAGTGCTCCCCCTGGGCCAGGGCCTCTCACCTGGGGGGTCCCTCACACAGGACCGTGGACACCGTGTGCCTCCCGCGCAAACCCTCTCCCATCGTCTGCGGGCAGCAGGCCTGGGGCTGCTCCACAACTCCACGGAAGGCGTCATGATGTAGCCGCCACGGGGATGTGTTATTGGAGAAAGGATGTTCTATATTAGTAATACTTTTTTATTTTTAACAACAACCTTTCGCAATGATTTTTGGGAACACCATGATACTTTTTGCAAATCATGTTTACTCAAAAAGTTAATAGTTAAGGATATAAAACATCCAACATGCACCTATCTATGTTCTTAGCACTTCATCTACCCATGAGCTGGTGGGAACGGGAGGGGTGACGGGAAGGAACAGTGATGAGTAACACACACACAGAAGGGATTAACCGTGTGTGTGTCTGTGTGTCCATCAGTGTATGTTACAGTGATACTATAACCCAAATATTTTAAACAAACCACCAATACATGTATCCAGGAGTCTGAGCCAGCAGCACAGGAGCAGACAAGTCTGTGTCTCCTGCCCCTCCCTCCAAGAGGGGGCTCCAAGGAGCTGTGGATATTGCACAGGAGTGCACCAGGGTCCAGGTTCTCTGTTAAAATTGTGGCGATTAATTTTGTGAATCATACTTTACATAAATTGCTTTGCTTAGAGAAAGAGCACTAAATGAAAAAAGTCAAGCTGCAATAAAAGGAATGGGTACCCATTCATGCACTGTTGGGGTTGGTGGGAGCAGGGTGGGATGGGTGGACAATATTGAGAATGAGCAGAGAAGGTTCACGTGGGGCAGGGGGTGCACAGGTCCTGGGTGGTTTACTCAGAGATTCATTCCTTATCCTTTCCTGCTCTGCTCTGCCCTCCACCTCTGGCCACAGACCTCTGCAGGCTCGCTTGCCAGCTCCCTGTACTGTGCCCTGCTGAGTCCCTAACCCGGCAGACACTGGGAAGAGACTGGAGAGTGGGAGCAAGTGAGAAGCTGGGAAATCTTGCTGTCACTTTCTTGGGCCTCAACTCTAGCAGTAGCTGCATCTCCCCCATGACACCGCTTCCCACCAAGCAAGCCAGCCATAGTCCAGCTTCCCCCTACCCAGTGGCCTTGGGACATGACCTCGGCACAAGGCCTCAGCCTTAGTCCCTTGCATACCTTCCTCTTGACTATTTTGTGAGCTTCCACGTTCTTCCACTTGGGCCTCTCAGCTCTTCCATCAACTGTGTAACTAATAATTTCGGTTAAATTCCCTCTGTTCTAAAGCTTAGGAAGCTTTGTATTATATTTTCCTTTTGGACCCTGATTGATGCAGGGAGCAAATAAAATATCTATGAATCAACACCTGGTCTAGGTTCAGTCACATCTGATAATGGACTCTCAGAGCAACTCTTGGAAACAGAGGAGACAAATGCAGTGGAAACAGGTACAACCTCTGACAACAATGATGCACTAGAAAGCCAGCCAGCAAATGAACAACGTGCCCAAGAGCTTGATCCAGCAGGTAAGACAGAGACGCTGGGTTTGATGAGTGTGGAGGGGGACGGGCAGGTGGAGGGACTCAGTGTGGCAGGTAGAGTCACAAGAGTTGAACTTCGGTAATGATGGGAAAGCTTAACATGGAGAAAACAAAATGACAAAACTGATATAGAAGAGGCATTCACGGGTCACAAAAACAATTAAGAAATACAATAGGAGAAAGTAGGAAACATTGTAGAGAACGGATAAACTGCAAGTTTACAAAGGCACAGCAGGGCCAGGCCTAGGGTGAAGCGGGAACCCAAAAACTCGTGTGAAGAGCATCTCACCCCCAGCACCCCCTGAGCTGTAGACAACTACTTGGCTTCACCCTGGCTCCTGCTGGGCCCAGGGGCACAACGATAAAACCAATGTAGAGAGATAAGGATGAGTAGAAAAAGATACAAAAGGAAATGAACATCAATAGGTAGAAAAAATGGGGAGGCACCAAGAGAACCATGTCGAGAATGAATAACGGACAATGAGTCAAAAACTGATGGAGTGTGGACCAGGTAGACAGAGAGAGGATCAAGCACTGTGTGACTGGAAGGGACAGTCACCAACCACAGAGAAGGCACAAAGGCTGTTCTTAATGAAAGGTAAGGTGTCCACAGTGATGAAAATGGCCCAAGAAACTTCTCAGGGAAAAATAGTCCTCTCCTCTGAAAAGCAGAGACAAAAATAAATATAAAAAACCCAAGGTTAAAAGAGGTAGAAAGGAAGGGCAGAGTCAAGCAGCAGGAAAGGAGCAGGGGCAGGGGGCGCACTCCCCACAGCGGGGTCGCGGAGAGCAGAGCTTCCTTGCAGTGAGGGCGCGCCCTCTCTTTGGGGATACAAATGCAATTCCTCATTTTTACAATCTGGTCCAGGAGCAGAGCTACCCAGCCATGGAATCGCCCCTTCTGTGTTGGACCTGGAGGAACCTGCAGGTCCCACACCTTAGGGCACAGAGCGGGGGGACGTGAGTTAACTTAGTTTCTCTGCCTTCCTAGTGCTCTTGTCATGGGCTTTCTTCTCCGTGGTCTCGTTAGTCCCTCCCTGAAATTCTAAGGGGTTTTGTCCTCTGTGCAGTGATCGGCTCTGAGGACTCCACAGAACGTAGAAATAGAGAAGAGCCCCCTGAAGCCCAGGCACGGAATTTCGGCCCTATAGATCCAGCGAACATAAAGAAGGAAAAGACTTCTTTGACTGCAGGAGTCGACTGGGAAGCCCAAGGAAGGACTGACTGTAACCAACCATCTGCAATAATAGGCAAGGCCGACTGAAAGAGCGTGTGATGTGAATCACAGTCCTGGGCAAGGGTCTGGGACGTGTCACAGGGCCATGAGGCAGCCCTGGTGGCCTGGGCGAGAGGTAGGAAGGGGAGGGGACCAGCGCCTTATGCAGCGAGCTCAGCAGAAGTGTCCCCTAGTAACTGGAAAAATATCTAAAACAGAAATGGTTGGCTTAAGTATCATATCAGGCTATTTCTATGCAAGAGAGTAAAGTGACCGTTGTAGGAGTGAAAAGAAAAGGGAGAAAATCGAAAAACCAAGATATTCATTAGAGGAGAGAAAAAGGAACACATGAAGACAAGGAGAGTTATAAAGACATGCCACCCCCAGGCATAATTAATGGAAATGGTTTGAACCAATGAGAAAGTGAGGAAATAAAATGAGAGTGAAAGAAGAGGTAGAGTGGGGGAGAGAAGGGGAGGTAGAGTGAGGGTGGAGGCGGGAGACAGGGCGACCGTGGGGTAAGAAGGGCTGCAGGACGGGCACAGCTGCCCTCTGTGCCTGAACCTCACCCCCTTCTGTGTAGGACCTGGAGGAGCCTGCAGGTCTCACACCTTAGGGCACAGACCGGGGGGGACATGAGTTAACTTAGTTTCTCTGCCTTCCTAGTGCTCTTGTCATGGGCTTTCCTCTCCGTGGTCTCGTTAGTCCTTTCCCTGAAATTCTAAGGGGTTTTGTCCTCTGTGCAGTGATCGGCTCTGAGGACTCCACAGAACATAGAAATAGAGAAGAGACCCCTGAAGCCTCCATGTCAGCAGAGAAAAGGCCCGGTAAGGAGGTGGGAGCTCAAAGCATGGGCTGCAGGAACCTGTACTGAGAGCTAGTGTTTCCGGAGGCATCTGTTCTGAGTTCATGCTGCACCATCGATCCAGTTCATCCTGGATCCCATTCTCTGCTTTTTACTTGACCACTCTGGAATGTGCAAGGCAATAAGAAGTACTTTTATTTATATTTTTGAAGATGAGGCTATTTATTGATAGGTCCTATTAATCTGTGCACACATATATTGATTATATAGTAGATAGGCTAGCAAAGTAATGAGCTTGTTTTAAACTTAACTGGTTTGACTATAAAGTGTTGGATTTATACAATTATTTCTAAAGAGAAAAACAAAACAAATATCTCTTTATTGGGAGGTCATATTGTAATATTTCTAATTTCAAACTTTGAATAATGCCAAAGACAACTCACTCATTTAATGTTAGCAGAAATGGATAAAGTGTTTCAAAACCCAAAGTGTTGTTTTTGACGGAGCTCTTCAGCAAGCCATGACATACGTGTATAATAACTTTAAAGAACCTTTGCGAATAGTATCTTACTTTTTCCTTTATAGCAACCCTGAGGCGTAGCAGGATTGACAGCGTTACTCTTGTTTCTAGATGAGGAAAGACAATCACATAAACGTTTCCAGGTTCCACAAAGTCTGGTGGAGATAACAGCTTTCTGGATTCTGCATTATTTCCTTAGGAAAACTGCAGTTTTGAAACAGTTACCTACATGCTGTTTCCTGATCCTTGGGCAGCATGAGTGGTCGTAAGTCCTGCAGCTCTTTAGAACAGAGAATGGTGTTGTGGTTTTCCCTTCCTGCTTTCTCAGCGGATATTGGAAACATGCTATTTAGGAAAGCGCACTAGGAAAAGACCTAAAAGCAAATAAAAATGTTACCTGGGTCTTTCTAAATCATATATTTGTCGTAATACCTTTCTATGTCTATCCATGTAAAATGTAAGTTTGCTTCAAGTTTTAGAGAGGCACCTTCTGATTTGTGTCTCCGTGTGGGCAGACTGCTCTGTAGGGTGGCTCTGTAGCAGGACTATGGCTCAGACTCAAGAGATTACTTCTCAGCTGTGCAAACGGTTCAAGAGGCACCAGTGGGGAAGGAGGCTCTCTGCCTTCGATGCAAGATTTCCAGGGTCTCTCCACATGAGAAACAGCAGATGAAGGAAGTGTGAAATGACAATAGAGGCGTAAGAGGAGGGAGATCCATGTACGCATGCCTCCATTTCTATTTTGTTCATCAGTTTATTTTGTTCATTAGATTCTACATGTAAGTCAGATTGTATGGTATTTGTCTTTCTCTGACTGGCTTATTTACTGAGGAAAATAATGTCCAGGTCCATCTATGCTGTCACAAAAGGTAAAATTATCTTGATTATCTAGTCTTGGAATTTGGATAATGCTGGCTTTGTAAAAACATCTTGGAACTCTTCCTTCCTCTTGACTTTTTTGGTAGAGTTTGAGAAGGATAGGTGTTAGTTCCTTGAATGTTTGGCAAAATTTACCTGTGAAGCCTTCTGGTCCAGGAATTTTGTTTGCTAAAAGTTTTTTTTTTTAAATTTTTTTCTTACATTTTTTCCAATACCATTTAACCCCTTATACCCCTCCTTATCTCAATCACCACCCTGTTGATGAGTCCTTTTTCAATTTTGCTCCATCTCTCCACTCCCTAATCCCCCCATAGCTCTAAAGTCATCCTCTTTTCTATCTGAGTCTGTCTCTATTTTGCTTGTTAGGTCAGTTTGTTCATTAGATCCACACGAGTGAAACATACGGTATTTTTCTTTCTCTGACTGGCTTATTCCACTTAGCATAATGTTCTCCAGGTCCATCCATGATGTCTCAAAGGGTAAAATATTCTTTTTTATGACTAATTACTATTCCATTTTACAAATGTCCCATAGTTGTTTTATCCACTCACCTACTGATGGACCCTTGGGCTGCTTCCATATCTTGACTATTGCAAATCATGCTGCAATGAACATAGGGGTGCTTATGTTCTTTCAAATTAGTGTTTTCGGCTTCTTCAGATATGTTCCCACAAATGAGATTGCTGGGTCAAAAGGCAGATCTATTTTTAATTTTTTGAGGTATCTCCATAACGCTTTCCACAGTGATTAGATCAATCCACATTCCCATGAACAGTGCAAGTGGGATCCCTTTTCTCTACATCCTTACTTGCACTTGTTTGTTGACTTATTGATGATAGCCATTCTGACAGATGTGAGGTGATACTGTGGTTTTAATATGCATTTCTCTGGTGATTAGTAGTATTGATCATCTTTTCATACATGTATTGGCCAGCGGTATATCCTCTTTGGAGTAATTTCTGTTCAGGTCCTTTGCCTGAATTGGATTGTTTGTTTGTTTGGGTTTTGGCGGGGGGGATATTGAGTTTTTAAGTTCTTTATAAATTTTGGATATTAACTCTTTATCTGATACATCGGCAAATATGTTCTCTCATTCTGTGGGTTGTCGTTTTATTTTGTTGATGGTTTCCTTTGCTGTGCAAAAACTTTTTAGTTGGATGAGGTCCCATTTGTTTATTTTTTTTCTTTTGTTTCCCTTGCCTGGGGAGATACTGCTATAGATTTTACTATAAGACATAAGATTTTACTGCTTCTGTTTTCTTCTAGGACTTTTATGTTTTCGGATCCCTTGGATTTTTATAGTTTCATGTGCCCTGATCAGGAATCAAACCCATGACCTTTTGATTTATGGGATGATGCTCTAAGCAACTGAGCCACACCAGCCAGGCCTAAGCCATTCACCCTTTAATAACATTCTATTTAGCCTCCAAGTGTTTGAATATTTTTCAGGGGTAATTTTCTTTTGTAATTGATTTCTAGTTTCATACCATTTTGGTCAGAGTAGATGCTTGATATGATTTCAGTCTTCTTGAATTTGTTAATTCTTTTTTTTGTGTCCTAACATGTGGTCTATCATTGAGAGTGTTCCATGTGCACTTAAGAAGAATGTATAATCCACTGATAGGGATGAAATGTTCTGTAAATATCAATTAAATCCATTTGATCCAATGTGACAAGGTCACCACTGCCTTGTAGAAATTTTGTCTGGAACAGCTATCCATTGGGGTGTCAAAAGCCCCTTCTTTGACTGTATTGCTGTTGATCTCTCCTTTAATGTCTTCCAAGATTTTCTTTATATATTTAGGTGCTCCTATGTTGAATGCATATACATTTACTAGGGTTATATCCTTTTGTTGGATCAATCCCTTTAGTATTGTATTATATTTAGTATGTAGTGACCGTTTAGTCTCTTGTTATGGCTGTTGTTTTAAAGCCTATTTTGTCAAATATAAGTAGTACTATCCAAGGGTTTTTTGTTTTTTGTTTTTTGTTTTTTTTTGGTTTATTTGTTTGTTTTCATTTGCATGGAATGTTTTGTCTGTCACTTCATTTTCAGTCTATGTGTGTCTTTTGTTCTGACATGGCCCACTTGTAGACAGCATATATATGGGTCATGTTTTCTTATCCATTCAGTATTTAATCCATTTACATTTAAGGTTATTATTGTTAGATATTTATTTATTGTTATTTTATTTTTTATATCCTTGTTCCTCTCTCTGTTTCTTCTTAAAGCAGGCCCTTTAGCACTTCTTGTGATACTGGTTTGGTTGTAATGAACTCGTTTAGCTTTTCATCATTTTGAATATTTCATACAAATCCCTTCTTGCCTGAGTGTCCTGGGTAAGAAATCAGCTGACAGCTTTTGGGTAACTAAAATTAACTGTCTCTCACTTGCTACCTTTAAGAGTCTCTCTTTGTCTTTAACCTTTGCCATTTTTAATTGTGATGTGTCTTGGTGTGAGTCTCTGTGGGTTCATCCTGATTGGGACTCTCTTTTCTTCCTGAACTTATGTTACTTTCTTCTTCACGGAGTTATGGGATTTTTCAGCCATTATTTCTTCAAACAAATTCTCTCCCCATTACTCTCATCTCCTTCCGGTGCCCATGTGATGCAGATGTTTCACTTGATGTTGTCCCACAGGTGTCTTAGAATTTCCTCATTTTATAATATTCTCTTTTTTAAAAAAATATATATATATTTTACTGATTATGCTATTACAGTTGTCCCATTTTCTTTTCCCCTTTATTCCCCTCCCCCCTGCGCTACTCCTCCCCCCAGCATTCCCTCCTCCTTAGTTCACGTCCATGGGTCATACATATAAGTTCTTTGGCTTCTCCATTTCCTATACCATTCTTAACCTCCCCTGCCTATTTTGTATCTACTATTTATGCTGCTTAGCCCCTGTATGTTTTCCCCCATTCTCGCCCCTCGCCCCGATCTCCATTTCTATTATTCTGTTCCTGTTCTAGTTGTTTCCTTAGTTTGTTTATGTTTTTGTTTTGTTCTGTTTTAGGTTCAGTTGTTGGTAGTTGTGAGTTTGTTGTCATTTTACTGTTCATAGTTTTGATCTTCTTCTTTTTCTTAAATAAGTCCCTTTAACATTTCATATAATAAGGGCTTGGTGATGATGAACTCCTTTAACTTTACCTTATCTGGTAAGCATTTTATCTGCCCTTCCATGCTAAATGATAGCTTTGCTGGATAAAGTAACCTTGGATGTAGGTCATTGCCTTTCATGACTTTGAATACTTCCTTCAAGCCCCTTCTTGCCTGTAAGGTTTCTTTTGAGAAATCAGCTGATAGTCTTATGGTAATTCCTTTGTAGGTAACTCTCTCCTTTTCTCTTGCTGCTTTTAAGATTCTCTCCTTATCTTTAATCTTGAGTAATGTAATTAGGATATGCCTTGGTGTGTGCTTCCTTGGATCCAACTTTTTTGGGACACTCTGAACTTCCTGGATCTCCTGGAATTCTATTTTCTTGGCCAGATCAGGGAAGTTCTTCATTATTTTTTAAAATAAGTTTTTAATTTCTTGCTCTTCCTCTTCTCCTTCTGGCACCCCTATGATTTGGATGTTGGGATGTTTAAAGTTGTCCCAGAGGTCCCTAAACCTCTCCTCATTTTTCTGAATTCTTGCTTCTTCATTCTGTTCTGATTGAACGTTTATCTTTTCCTTCTGCTCCCAATCATTGATTTGAGTCCTGGTTTCATTCCCTTTACTTTTGGTTCCCTGTACATTTTCCTTTATTTCACTTTGCAAAGCCTTTATTTTTTCCTCCATTTTGCGACCATACTCAACCAATTCAGTGAGCATCCAGATTACTAGTGTTTAGAACTGTGCATCTGACAGCTTGGCTGTCTGTTCATTGCTTAGTTCAATTTTGGATATTTTATCTTTTCTTTCAGTTGGACCATATTTCTTTGTCCCAGTGTACCTGTTACATTGGGAGGGGCAGAGCCTTAGGTATTTGCAGGGAAGGGCAATCAGGTCGCTGTGTAGTGACGCTGTGTGTGGGGGAGGGGTCTGAGAGGGAACAATGCCACGTGCTCGGCCCTCAGCATGTTTTCAGTCACTTCCCACTCTACCCTCAAGCAATTTGGGCTTTTAAGGTGCTGATTCCCTAAAAAGGGAATCAAAAAACCAAAAAAAAAGCCCAAAAAACCCTTGGATAGTACTACTTACATTTGACAAAATAGACTTTAAAACAACAATGGGTTTGTGTATGTTCTAGGACCCTGTGGGTCTCTCCAATGGACTCTCCTGTGAGGCTGGGAGTTTCTCCTGCCACTGCAACCTCCATAGGTTTTTACCTCCAGAGGTTTTGAGGCTTTCTTTTCCCACACTGTAACCTTGGATTGTGTGATATTCCTTGCCTTCCAGCAGCTCCTCATGGTTTATCCACACTCAAATGTGAGATCACCTGGTCTTCCAGGCGCCACCTTGTTGCACATCCTCTCCACCATGGCTGCCCATCTCTGCCTCTTCTACCAGTCTGGATGAATATTTCTTTTTTTAGCTCCTTAGTGTTGGACTTCCATACAGTTCAATTTTCTGGCACTTCTGGTTATTTTTTGTTTTTAAATTTGTTGTCCTTCTTGTGGTTGTGCTAGGAGGCAAAGTGCATCTACCTATGCCTCCATCTTGGCCAGAAGTCTAAAATTCTCTTTTCTTTTAGATGTTTTGCTTGGGTGCTTACTCTTATCTTGTCTTCTAAATCAATGACTTGACACTCTGCTTCATCTAATCTGCTGTTTATTCCTTCTAGTATATTCTTCATTTCAGATATTATATTCTTCATTTCTGCCTGGTTGTTTTTTATGGTTTCTATGTCCTTTTTAATGCCTGCTATCTCTTTGTTGAAGTTCTGAGGTTCTTGAGCACCCTTAGCCATTGTTTTAAACTCTGCATCTGGTATTTTGGTTTACTCTGTTCCATTTAATTATTTTTCTGGGGATTTATTTTCTTCATTCATTTGTGGCATATTTCTTCATCTCCCCATTTTATCTCTGTGTATTAGGTAGATTTGCTATGACTCCCAAACTTGTTATAATGGCTTCATGATGGAGGTGTTTTGTTAGGCTTGGTGGCACAACCTTCCGGATCACCGGAGCTCGATGCTCCATAAATGTTTCTTGTCAGTTATGTGCGCCCTTTGGTTATCATTGAGTCTTGGATGGTGTTGGTCCATTCATGGGTAGAGTTAACCCTTCAGGCTGGCTGACTATAAAGGTGAACCTCAACCACTGAGTACGAGTCCCTGGGCAGGGGCTGTCCCTAAAGGAGCAGTTGCTCCAAGCAGAGTTTGGTGACCTCAGAATCCCCCTTTGTGTGTGCCACTTGTGTAGCTAGTTGGATCGAGCTCTGGGTGGTCAGAAGCCCATTACTGGTTGTGTTGGTTCTCCATCTACTTGGGCAGAGTTCAGGTACAGGACAATGTCACATGTTGTGTGTAAGTGGCCTTGGACTAGCTGTCTGGAGCTACTGCATCATTTACTGCTTGTGGTTGTGCCTACTGGATCTGGGTGTGCATGGGAGGGGCCAATCAGTGTAAAAGATTCAGCTTCTTCCAGCTTAGAGAGGGGTGTAGATCTGTAAAAAGACCAAGGTTCTCTCACTTCACTTCACTTCACTTCTCAGCTGCTCTGCCTCTCCCTGAAGTTTCCTGGTCTTTCTCCATATCATCCCAAAGAAAAGCTGTACAATGAGCCCAGGTTGGCTGCAAACCACAGCCCATTCCACAGGTTGCAAGCTCAGTAACACATGGCAATTGGTATCAGGAGGAGCTATTGGATTGCCTACTTTAGGCTCAACAGTCAGGCAATCAATGAGGGAAAATGTGGCTATTCCAGAGAGAAATCACTCTCTCTGCCAGAGTCTCCAATTTAGTTTCCACTGGAGGGGCTCACTACAGGTTCAGGCTGCGTACAACCAGGCATCCCCTCTGCAAGAGTAACCTCAGCTGCCCCAGGACTAAGGCAACAAGTCAAAAGAGTATCCCAATGTAGGTGATGCTGGCTTAGCCCACAGGAGGAAGCTAAGCATTTCATCCTGGTCCCAGACAATAGCCTCCAAGGTACTCATGCTTTGAATGTCCCAGTATTGAGTCACTCACCCTTCTCTCCACAGAGCTGAGTCCAGTTGACCAGTGGTGCAGGGCATCAGGGGTTTGGCAGGGCTGATCCGAAGTGTCTCCCATTGGGGGTGGTGCCTACAAACCCAAAGGATGGGCACTTCTTTCCCTTCCCGGTATAGTGCCAGCTGAGTTTGTGCAGGAGATATGTCATCCTTCCCACAACCCTGTATTGTAGCCACACACCCTAGTCCCCAATCTTCTGGTTCCTGGACAAAATCTTCCCCAGGAGACAGAGTCTGAAAGTTGCAGCAATATGCTACACTCTGCTCCCTTTGCACCAGTGAACTCAACAGGATGGTGCTTGTCAAATTGCTCAACATGTAGAAGGAGGTGGTGTCAGCTGTGTACTCAAGGAGGGTGAGAATGGAACCCTTTCCAAAACCACATAGATGAGTCACTGCTTGGGTCTCCACCAAGAAACTCCCCAGAAAATGAGGGCCCCAAAAGTCACTGCTGGCTGCAGCCAGCAGACCCCTGTGCAGGACCCGAGTACATCATAATGGGCTCTCTAACAGACAAAGTCCATGCTTTCCATTCCCCAGGACTCTGCCTCAACAGTATGAGTGCTTGTCCCTGAAAAGGTGGTGTCTGGCTCTGCCAGGCAGACACCATCCCCACTGACTTTCACCACCAGATATCCTGCAGGCTCCTCTTCCTGTCTCTGTTGCTCTGGATTGAAGATGCCTGCATGGGGATGAGACCTCACACTCCTGGAGAGAGGGAGTTTAGCAGCTACAATGTATCTCCAGCTGCCACTGCACTTGGGTGTGAAAGCCAGTTCTTTCCACACCTTTGTGCTTCTTACCAGTCCCTATGTGGCTTCTTCTGTAAATCTTTGGTTGTAATACTTCAGTTCAGCTAAGCTTTAGTTGGTTATTCTTATTAATTTTTCTATAATTTAGCTGTAAGTTCTGTTTTAGCCTGGAGCAGTTGAGTGTAGCTTCCACCTACTCTGCAGCCACCTGGAATACCCCATCCCCAACAAATATTTTTGATGAATGGCCATCCTTCAGCGTGTCAAAGGTTTATGCAGTGATTTTGTATGAACTTTTCCACAAATTTCCTCTGGAAAATATTAAGATCTAAACAGGATATGATACCTGTTCTTACTGCTGAGTACAATGGGATTTCAGAGTCTTATAAAGTGCTGTTGAATAATGAAGGAAGACCCAGGGCCAATTTGAAGTCATGCTTCTCAATTTAATAGGTTTTCAGTTCTTTTTAAAGAAAGAGAGAAACATAAATCAAATACCCTGATAAATTCAAATCTCATGCAGTATTAATCATCCTAATATTTATAACTTCTATTTATTCATTCCTGTTTTCTCACCACCTCTTTTTATTTTCTAGCTCCTGCAGATCTTGGAAAACCCCCTACCTTACAAAAAGCCAAGAGAAGAAGAAGTAAGAGTGAATACGATTTTGCTTGCTTTTAATGTGAAAAATGAATTTTAAATACCAGAGTTTCATCATCATTATTATTTACAACATTGCAGAATATGGAAGGATGGCTCCTCACAGATGTCTGTGTCCTAATGGAATTTGTAATCTGTTACCTCACATGACGAGTGGGCGTTACAGATGTAATTAAACCAGGGGCCTTGAGATGGGGAGATTATCCTGGGTTACCTGGGATATATATTCCCATAGACCTTAAAAAGTGGAGACTCTTTCTTGGCTGTGGAGAGAGAAAGCAGTGAGTGTAGCGGAATGGCCAGAGAGAAGCAGTAGCGCTGGCTCTGAAGATGGAGGAAGGACTAGGGAATGCGCGTGACCTTAAGGAGCAGGAACAATCAAGGAAGCAGAGTGTCCCCTACAGCCTCCAGAAAGGAGTGAAGCTCTGCTAAAAACTTGATCTTAGCCCCAGTGGGGTTGTGTCAGAATTCTAACATTATTGTAAGATGATACATTGTGCTGTTTAGTCCATAATTTGTAGTAATTGTTAATTGCCACAATTGTTAATGGCAGCAACATGGAAATAATACAGAATCTGGTTCTTAAAAGTGGGTTATGGCTATAAAACATTCCTAAAAATGTGTCAATGGCTTATAGGCAGAGAGGAGAGGCTGGAAGAATTTTAACCTGAGTGATTTAAAAAGCCTAGATGGAGCAATGTGTAGAAATGTGGATGCTGAAGACCGAGTGAGGACTCAAAAGGAGGGATAAACATGGTAAAGAAAGCCTATGTTGTCTGAGAGAAAGTGTAAATCACCGAGAAGAGCACAAATATGGAAGCTATTAGCGTGACTGGTGAGGGCTCAGAAGGAAATAACATGTTTTTAGAAAACTGGAAGAAGAAGGTTCTTATTAAATAGTGACAAAAATTATAGCCAAATCTTTTTCTGCAGATGTACTGAAAGCAGAACTTTCTGGATATACACTAAGGAGATTTCTTTTCTTTTTTTTTTTTTTCCCACCTTATCCTCCAGCTCGTTGATTCATCCTCAGCTTAATCTCACCTGCTTTTGATTCCTTCTACTGTGTTCTTCAATTCAGATATTGTAATCTTCATTTCCTCTGGTCTCTTACTGATAGTTTCTATGTCCTTTTTCATGCTGATATAGTTTGCAGTAAGTTCTTTGCAGTTTCCCTGTAGTTTTCTGTAATTCTCTCTGAGCTCACTAAGCTCATTGAGTTTCCTTAGAACCGTTGTCTGGAACTCAATATCTGATAGTTTACTTGTCTCTATTTCATTTAGTTCTCTTTGTGGGGATTCCTCCTTTCCCTTCGAGTCGGGGGGTGTTTCTTTGTCCTCCCAATATTTGTGAGACTCTTCTTTTTTTCTTCTGCTTCTTATATTGATCTGTCTTGATTTCTCTCTTTTTCTTTTTTTTAAATTTATTTACTTTTTAAATACATTTGTCTCTGCCTCCCCCCTACCTCTTTACCTTGCCCCCTCCCACCTTCCCTCCCTCAGCTCTTCTGCTTTGGTTTTGTCCATGAGTCCTTGCTATATGTTCCTTGACTTTCCCCTTCCCTTCCCCTGCCCCACCCCCCTTCCCTCTTGTCTCTGTTGATTTCTTTTCCTTTCAGCGTTGCTGGTCATGTTTTCCTTGCATCTTTGCATTGTTGGTTAGGTTCCGCTTATAGGTGAGATCATATGGTATTTGTCTTTCGCCCCCTGGCTTATTTCGCTTAGCATGATGCTCTCCAGTTCCATCCATGCTGTCGCAAAGTTTAGTACTTCTTTTTTTCTTTCTGCTGCGTAGTATTCCATCATGTATATGTACCATAATTTTTTGATCCAATCATCTACTGATGGGCATTTAGGTTGCTTCCAACACTTGGCTATTGTAAATTGTGCTGCTATGAACATTGGGGTGCATAGGTTCTTTTGTATTGGTGTTTTGGTGTTCTCAGGGTATAGTCCCAGCAGGGGAATCCCTGGATCAAAAGGCAGTTCCATTTTCAGCTTTCTGAGGAAATTCCACACTGCTTTCCATAGTGGCTGCACCAGTCTGCATTCCCACCAACAGTGGACTAGGGTTCCCTTTTCTCCACAGCCTCGCCAGCACATGTTGTTTGTGGATCTGTTTATGATGGCCATTCTGACCGGTGTGAGGTTGGTACCTCATGGTGGTTTTGATCTGCATTTCTCTGATGGCTAGTGATGCAGAGCATCCTTTCAAATGCCTCTGGGCCCTCTGTATCTCCTCCTTAGAAAAGCATCTGCCCAGGTCCTTTGCCCATTTTTTGACAGGATCGTTTGTCTTCTTGGAGTAGAGTCAAGTGAGTTCTTTATATATCTTGAAGATCAAACCTCTATCTGATGTATCATTAGCAAATATATTTTCCCATATGGTTGGCTCCCTTTTCATTTTGCTGATGTTTTCTTTCACCGTGCAGAAGCTTCTTATTTTGATGAGGTCCCACTTGTTTATTCTTTCCTTTATGTCTCTTGCTTTAGGAGACATATCAGTGAAAAAATTGCTACGTGGGATATCTGAGAGTTTCCTGCCAATGTTCTCCTCTAGGACTTTGATGGTGTTGCGACTTATATTTAAGTCTTTTATCCATCTTGACTTTATTTTTGTGTATGGTGTCAGCTGATGATCCAATTTCAATTTTTTTCATGTAGCCGTCCAGCTCTCCCAACACCATTTGTTGAAGAGGCTGTTATTGCTCCATTTTATGCTTCTGCCCCCTTTGTCGAATATTAGATGTCCATAGAGACCTGGGCTTATTTCTGGGCTTTCTATTCTGTTCCACTGGTCTATGGGTCTGTTCTTGTGCCAGTACCAGATTGTTTTGAGTATGGTGGCTTTGTAGTAGAGTTTGATGTCCGGTATTGTGATCCCTCCTACTTTGTGTTTCTTTCTCAAAATTGCTGCGGCTATTCGGGGTCGTTTATGGTTCCATATAAATTTTTGAAATGTCTGTTCTATTTCTGTGAAATACGTCATTGGTATCTTAATAGGTATTGCATTGAATCTATAAATTGCTTTGGGCAGTATGGACATTTTGAGGATATTAATTCTTCCAATCCATGAGCACGGTATATGCTTCCATTTATTTGTGTCTTCCTTAATTTCTTTTTTCAATGTTGTATAGTTTTCTGCATACAGGTCTTTTGTGTCTTTGGTTAAATTTATCCCTAGGTACTTTATCTTTTTTCGTGCTATATCGAATGGTATATTTTTTCTGATTTCTTCTTCTTCTATTGCATTGCTGGTGTACAAAAATGCCTTTGATTTCTGAATGTTGACTTTGTATCCTGCTGTTTTGCCAAATTCACTTATTAGGTTGAGGAGTTTTTTGGTAGAGTCTACAGGGTTCTCTATGTACACTATCATGTCATCTGCAAACAATGATAGCTTTACTTCCTCCTTTCCTATTTGGATGCCTTTTATCTCTTTCTCTTGTCTGACCGCTGTGGCTAGGACTTCCAATACGATGTTGAAAAGAAGCGGTGAGAGCGGACATCCTTGTCGTGTTCCCGATCTTAGTGGGAAAGCTTTCAGTTTTTGCCCGTTGAGTATGATATTGGCTGTAGGTTTTTCATATATGGCCTTTATTACGTTGAGGAATGCCCCATTTATTCCCATTTTGCTGAGTGTTTTGATCATAAATGGGTGCTGTACCTTGTCAAATGCTTTTTCTGCATCTATTGAGATGATCATGTGGTTTTTGTCTTCTCTTTTATTTATGTGATGTATTACGTTTACTGATTTGCGTATATTGAACCATCCCTGCATCCCTGGGATGAATCCCACTTGATTGCGGTGGATAATCTTTTTAATGTATTGCTGGATACGATTTGCCAATATTTTGTTGAGGATTTTAGCATCTATGTTCATCAGCAAAATTGGCCTGTAGTTTTCTTTCTTTGTAGGGTCTTTATCTGGTTTTGGGATCAGGGTGATGCTGGCCTCATAGAAAGAGTCTGGGAGTCTTCCCTCCCCTTGGATTTTTTGGAATAGTCTGAGAAGGACAGGGGTTAGCTCTTCCTAAATGTTTTGTAAAGTTCTCCTGTGAAACCGTCCGGCCCTGGGCTTTTGTGTGCTGGGAGTTTCTTGATGACTGCTTCAATTTCCCCAGCTGTTATCGGTCTGTTCAAGCTTTCTGTTTCTTACTCCTTCAGTGTTGGAAGATTATACTTTTCTAAAAATTTGTCCATTTCATCAAGATTTTCAAATTTCTTGGCATATAATCGTTCATAATAGTTTCTGATGATCATTTGTATTTCTGTGGTATCAGTTGTTATTTCTCCTCTTTCATTTCTGATATTATTAATTTGGGTCCTCTCCTTTTTGTCTTGATGAGTCTGCTTTATGGCTTGTCAATTTTATTAATCTTTTCAAAGAACCAGCTTCTGGATTGGTTGATCCTCTGAATTGTTCTTTTTGTCTCTATGTCATTCAGTTCTGCTCTAATCTTGACTATTTCCTTCCTTCTACTCGCTCTGGGATTTATTTGTTGTTGTTTCTCCAGTTCTTGAAGTTGTAGTGTTAGGTCTTTTATTTGAAATGTTTCTGTCTTTTTAAGGTAAGCCTGTATTGCTATGAACTTCCCTCTCAGGACCGCCTTTGCTGTGTCCCATAGGTTTTGGACAGTTGTCTGTTCATTTTCATTTGTTTCCAGAAATTTTTTGATTTCTTCTCTTATCTCATTATTGACCGATTCATTGTTTAATAGTGTACTGTTCAGTCTCCATGAGTTTGCAAGTTTTTGAAGTTTCTCTTGGAGGTTGATTTCGAGTTTCAAGGCCTTGTGGTCTGAGAAAAAGTTTGGTGTTATTTCAATTTTCCTGAATTTGCTGAGGCTTGCTTTGTGTCCTATCATGTGGTCTATCTTTGAAAAACTGCCATGAGCATTTGAAAAGAATGTGTATTTTTCTTCTTTGGGATGTAAGGTTCTATATATGTCAGTTAAGTCTCTTTGATTCAGTGTGTCATTCAGCGCCA